CCTCATGAACTTCAGCTCCAGGACTTGGGAGTCTAAAGCCCAGCAATGGATTCCTGGAGCACTAGACAAGCAACAAGTTATTTGATTTTGGCTTTTTTTTAATGGTTTTTTTGGTTGTCATTTTAAGCAAGCATCACTAATTTAAGAGAGATAATTGCAGCCACCAAGTTTGTCCTGTAAACCAAAGGAAAGCTGCCTTTCTCCATGGATTTATGCCACCAAACCACCAATTTTTCAGCTTTCAGGAAAACCTCAACAGTCCTACCTGGCAGTACCAGACCTTGGGAAGAAAGAGGAATGAGGTTCTTGCAGGATGTTCATGTCCAATATCTAGGATTCCATAGGATCTAGGATTCCATAGGATCTAGGATTCCACAGGATCCAGGCATCACCAACCCTCTGCCTTTGTTGAGACACAGATTTGGGCTAAATCCTGTATTGACCCTCAATCTATTCCAATTATTCTTTATAACTTAAGTAGCATAAGAAGAAACTTATGAAGAACCTGTTGTTCACCATCCTTGCATGTACAGCTAAACCCCAGAAAAATCTCTTTACAGAATCAGAGCTTTCTTTAGCTGTCAGGATTTACCAAAAAAACCCACTAAAAAACTAACCAAAAAAAGTTGTCGTTTCAACATAATTATTTTTTCCCCTGGTTTTTCTCTTTCATGTAGTTTGATAGTTAAGGTTTTTACCTCTGCTTTATCTTTTTTTTTCACTCCCTCTTTCTCCACTCATTCCTTTCTTACTGCCCTTTTCCACTTTGCTTCTGAAGAAAGATGATGGAGAGACAGGGAAACTGAAACACCAAACAAACCTAATTTCTTACTACTGGCCTGGAGTTAAATAAGTACATTTTTAATTAAAAAAAAAAAAAACACACAACAAAACCAACAACAAAACACCACCAAAAACCAGGGCAAAAGCCCAGTCATCCTCTCTGGGAGCTGGGGGAACTTACCATCTTGCAGGATGAGCTCAGAGCTTTGCAAAATGATCTCAGTGGGTACAAGCAAAGGTGGGTCCCAGCCAGAACTCCGGATATGAGCACTTCCCATCCCTGTAGGGGAGCTGGGATTTCAACATCAGGGCTTGTTCCCTGCTGTTGGGACTGGAAGTCCAACACCCCTGAACATCAGCAAGGTTGAACCCCAAGGGCAAACATCTCCCATCAGTCTCCTCTATGTGACCAGCTGTCCTGGACAGGAGATAAAACCATCTTAAACAATAAAAGTATCTGCAGGATTAAGAGGCACTTGGGAAGCCCTTCCCTGTCACTGCTGGAAAAGACAAAGGGGTTTTGTGCAGGTTTCTTCAATATTGGCTGAAAAGAGTGGTCCTCATTGGCTACAGTTCTGAACAAGAGTTTCTAAAGTGAGATTTGGAATGTTCTGCCTGGGTCTCAGGAGCATGAAGTGAATACAGCTCCAGAGCATCAGCACAACCCCCTGTCAAGGCTAAACCCAACCAGCTTTCTCCAGCCCAGTCCTGGAGCCACCTCAGGCCAAAGTAAAGGGGAAAAGCTGCTCAATTCTTTGCATTTCAGTGACAAAACCAAAAATCACCCCAGTGGAGGGAAATCTTACAACGAGAGGAGAAGAAGCACTTGCCTAGCAGCAATGGCTGGGATCAGAATGCTGAGTTCCACTAACATTTGTAGATGTTTGGCTCCAGCTGCAGATGTAACACAGAAGAGACAACAAGTATGGAAAGGCTGAGCCAAGAAATAATTTGGTCTCACCATTTCTCCCCCACTCTTCTCCTTCCATCCAAGCACACACCATCTGAACGTGCTTTCCACGAGGTTTCAAGAGATAATTAGGGAAGTCAGTGAAAGTAATTCAGTGGGAGCAAATATCAGACACATTTCAAGAGCTAATTTTGCACTTAAAAAAAAAAAAAATCACATTGGAAAAGAAGATGCTAAGATTGCTGCTCATCCAAAAGAGGAACAAAAACATCTTCAGTGTCTTGTGGACTCATTAAAAACTAGTCCAGACATCTAGAGTGTTGCAGTTTTACCCAGATTGACTCATAAGTGATTAGAATGGGATTAACAACAACAAAATATAATCACTGGAACTGCTCCCACTGTAAAGTGGGGCTGAGTCAGAAACAATTATTTTCCTCTGGGAAGTGGGAAATGTCATTTTGTAAAACTTCCTTTACTCTTTGCAGGAAAATGACCAACTTTGCTTTGCTTGTGATGCAGGAACCTGTCTTTACATTTTTTGCAGGCTGGAATTTTCATATTTATCCTCTTCACTGGACAGCACAGAGTCACCCCTTCCTAGTTCAGAGTAAGAAAGCAATTTTTTCCCCATTTCTACGTTTCTTCTCTCTTTGCCATGTCAATCTATCAAAATCTCTCAGATCAGACAAAGCCACTGGGTGCCAAACAACAAACAAACCAACCAACAAGCAACAAACCACAAAACCCATCTGCATGAACCATTTTCACTCCTTTTGCCTGGGAGAAAGTCTGGACACCAACGTGTCCAAATGCTGAGTTTGGCATCAACCTCTGAAAATGTTTTGAAAAAATTTGTATTTCCACTTTGAACTCAGGGAAGTTAAAAGAACTTTGATGTCTTCCCTGACCATCAGGTTTCTGGAATGATCTGTACAGAAAATCTGGTTTAATGAGCTCTTCAGGCTTCCAAATCAACCTAGTAGACTCTTGCAGACTTTTTTTTTGCAATCTGGTGGTGAAACTCATTAGACAAATTATTTCCAGTAAATTGCTCTCTTCACCCTCACTGAGTCTGCATTTAAGACTTGTGGAAACATTTTGAGATAACAGAGCTGATGTTACTGTCCAAGAACAATAGAAGATGATTATAGATTTCATAGACCATCTAATCTAATTCCTGTGTAAACAGGCCACAGGCCTTTTTTAAATTAAATGCCATTTCAAGTCCAACAGATATGGTTCAACTAAAGCACAGTTCTGGAAAGAAAAAGAAAGAAAGATATGCACAGATAAAGAATGTGCAACAACAGACTCTATTGTGATTCCAGACAAAGGCTAAAATCCTGCCCCATCACCTTTGCCTCTTGCTGTGCCTGTCATGAGTATGTCAGGGCTCAGTGGAAAGAACAAGTGACAAGTTTTGATGCATTTTAATGGCAGAGGAAAGATGTTGTAGCCTGTGTTTTAACACAACAGGCCAGAGAGAGATCTCTTATTCCATTTACATCTCTCTGTGCCATAAAATAAAGAGCTACATGGCATCAAATGCCAGGGGTTCCCAATGTTTCCTGCACATGAGCATTGCCCAAGTTGGGTGCTTTTCTTTTTTAGGTTGAAGTGCAAAACTCTAGATGCACTTAAAGCTGTGGATGCCTTCTCAGTGTAGATTAGTCTGCATTAAATACACAGTGAGAGGAGGAATGTCCCAGCCTGGCTGTGTTGGAGGCACTTGGGACATTACCTGATGCAGACACACAAGCCATTGCAGAGTTCATGTGCAGGAGGTGCAATTCAAGTCTTCCAAACACCATTGAGCAAGAAACTGGGGGGGGGAAAAAAAGTTTCTCCCCACTCAACCCTCCTTGGATAAGTCACTTGAGATGTATGTGTGTGAATTGCCACCACCAACCCAAAAAAAGGGAGATGAAGCAACCACCTTCACAGGGGCACAAAGACCCATCTCTTGGATGGAGCAGGAGGGGAGGTGACAGCAACCAGGCAGGGCATGAGTGCCCTCCTTCTGACACAGGCACCCAGTGGCAGGAACAACACCCTCACCTACCTCAGCAAGGTGCTCCAAGGCAATTTGCATTATGGAAAGTCTGATGACTCCCATTTTCTCCAGGGTTTGTTAGCACAGAAAAAAAACCCAGCTCCGCAAAGCTGCTGCCTTGCACGCTGGAAGAGAAACAACAACAACTGCTTTATTTATATATTTAACTTTTAATTAAAAAATAAAGGTTATCTTAATACATCTCTTGCAGCCTTTGGGCAAAATGCACCCTTAACAAGACTTTATGAAACATGATGCACATCTATTCTTGGCACACATCTTAAACAAACGCCAGCCTTCTGCAGCAACTTCTCGAATCCGTCGTTCTCCCAAAGCCCTGAAAACACTTAAATGTTCTTTAAAAAAAAACAACAACAACCTACAAAAATTAGAAGTGGGCCCAAAGCAAAAAAAAAAAAAAAAAAAAAAGGAAAAAAAATAAAATCCCAGATCCAAGCATCCGAAAGCTTTTGGAGCAGACTCAAATCCAAACCCTCATCTCATGTGGAGTTTTTCTCCTGGGTCACTGCAAAGTCACAGACACAACACCCGACCAAGAGGTGAACTCTGGCTGCTGACCTGGGGGGAACCTCCCTGTGGAAGATTTGATCTCTATCCTGGGCCAAAGCAAACCCACGGGTCTGAACTCCATCCCAACTGCCAAAGCTGGGGCCATCCCTAACAGATATAAGTGCTGGTTACACGATGAAATGGTGCTAACAGAGCTCCCCATTCCTCAGCTGTCCCTGAGCTGGGGCCAGACCAAGTCCTGTGTCCCTGAGCTGGGCCAGACCAAGTCCTGTGTCCCTGAGCTGGGACAGACCAAGTCCTGTGTCCCTGGCATCACTGAAAGGCAAAGGATAAAGCCAAGCAAACCCCTCCAGCACAGCTTGGACCACCACACATTTGCCTCCCGCAGCGTGAAAGGAGCCCTGGGCTTCTCCTGCCCTGGCCAGGAGGTGTCTTGGGTTTCAGGAGGTGGTTTTCTCAGGAAAGGTGTCCAGGCTCCTGCACACCCTGAGGGACAGGGCAGCACTGCTCACATCTCTGCTCCACCACGGCCCACGATGGCTCATTCCCAAAGGCACAAAGTGACCAATCTTTAGACTTATACACAAGGTCTACATATATATATATATTTATATATATATGTACACACACAATATTACATATATATTTAAATATATATATATACATATATATATTTGGTTTTGGTTTCTCTCTTGTATCTTCTTTTGCTTTTCTTTTTTGCCCTTCCCCTCTTGCTTTCCCTTTTAACTTAGCGGTGTCGTCTCCTCTGAGGAGGGTTCTGCTATATGTTCTGGAGACTTCTCTGTCTCCAAAGAGACTTCTGGCTTCTCCTCTGGCAATTCAGGCTCCTCGGGGGCTTGAGGTCCCTGCAGCTCCTGACTCTGAGTCTGGCTGTTCATTTTCTCTTCTGCTTCAATCTCCTCTGAGGTGGGAATGGAGTTTTTCTTTGGACGACCCTTGGGCTTTGTTGGGGCCTCCTGTCCACCCTTCAGTACCTGGAGCAAAGAGATGAACCATCAGGATCAATCTGAATCTGCCACCAAACAGCCTTGAGAGAAGGATAAACCTTGGCTTTGACCTCAAAGTCAATGCATGACTTGGTCCCCATTTCAGCCTCAGAGCAATGTCCTGCATTCATGGAATGAGCTCACCCACCATCTCATGGAAATAAACTGAAATGCAACCATCACCAGCAAGGACACCCAGAACTCTTGGAGTTCTCCAAGTCACTTCCTACATGAGGCCCCAAATCACCCAGGCATACAGCCCTCAAACCTACAGAGTTTTTATGCAGAATTCAGTTCTTTTCCTGAGCATTTACTTTATTCAAAGCCCAAGTAATAAACCTTAGCCAGGATTTCCTATTCCTACCTTTCCTCCAGCCTCTTTGCCTTTGGAAATACTCTTTATTTCCCAAGACCTGTATTAAAATGCATTTCATCTGAGTTAAAGGGGAGTCAGTATGACAGCCTGTTCCTATGTTTAACTCCCTCTCCCTTCACACCATCACTGCAGCAACAAGACACTTCCAACCAAAGATCTGTATCCAAGCTAATCCCAAATTTGTTTTAAGTGGCAGGAACTTCTGCAGCTGTCACATAGGTTCAAAGATACAGTCTAGAACTGCATCTCCTCTCCCAGATCAGAATACATAAACATCTCCACTGGATAATGTCACAGCATCGTGGTTCCCACCAGGATTTATTGAACAGTTGTCCTTTCTGTGAGCATTTTAACTGGAAAAGGGCCACGGAGCTGACAATAAGTGAAAGAGGAGAAAAGAAGATATGAAAAGCAAGAATTAATGTTATTAGCTCTCCAAGCTGCACTGGTTTCCATGGAGCAACACAACTTTTTTTGTCTGTGCACATAACCAATCCCATGAGCACTAAATCACAGGAATGGCAAAACTGCAGAGGGAGATATTTTGGTTCTTCCCTCTGTTCTGTTCTGATTTCTTTCATCCCTTTGCTTCCCATGTTTCCTACTGCCTGTGGCCCCTCCAGCCCAACACATGTGCTGCAGCATGAGCACTAGAAAAAAAAGACTATGTCTTGAAGAAAAGTGATTAAAAATAACCCAAAATTTGGTATAAATAGACAGAGGTCACAGAATCACACAGAACCACAGAATCCCAGGGGTTGGAAGGGACCTGGAAAGCTCCCCCAGCCCAACCCCCCTGCCAGAGCAGGGGCACCCAGAGCACATCACACAGGAACGTGGCCAGGGGGGTTGGAATGTCTCCAGAGAAGGAGACTCCACAGCCTCTCTGGGCAGCCTGGCCCAGGGCTCTGGCACTCTCACAGCAAAGAAGTTCTTCCTGAGATTCACATGGAACCTCCTGGGCTCCAGTTTGCACCCACTGCCCCTTGTCCTGTCACTGGACATCACTGCACAAAGCCTGGCTCTGTCCTCCTGACACTGCCCTGAACAGATTTGTGCCCAGGGATGAGGTGGCCCCTCAGTCTCCTCTTCTCCAAGCCCAACAGCCCCAGCTCCCTCAGCCTTTCCTCAGCAGGGAGATGTTCCCCTCCCTCCAGCATCTCTGTGCCTCTGCCCTGGGCTCTTCCCAGCAGTTCCCTGTCCTTCTGGAACTGAGGGGCCCAGAACTGGACACAAAATTCCAGATGTGGCCTCACCAAGGCAGAACAGAGCAGGAGGAGAACCTCCCTTGACTTACTAACCACACACTGTGCTCAGCTTCCAGATCTGTTCTTTTCAAATCAGGTTTTAAGGACCACTTACCATTTTCTTCCACTTCATCCTACGGTTCTGGTACCACGTCTTCACCTGGAGCTGAGTCAGCCCCAGGGACTGGGCCAAGTCAAGCCTGGGAGACAAGAAAAGGTATTGAAATGAGTTTAGAGAGGGCAAGAAGAGCTCAGAGGCCCAGGCAGCAAACCCTACACTGTAAGAGCATATAACAGTGGAATCACCAGAAAATATTATTATTTGTTTCTCTAACTTGTTGTTTTGAGAAATAGTCAAACAAAAGTGGTAAATACAGTGAATTCAGGGAGTAAATATAGATGCTATTGGGGGAGGGGCCAGGATATTTAGGAGTATGCAGGCTGTCTGTTCTCTTTTCATAGCATCACAGCATCACAGACTGGTTTGGGTTGGAAAGGACCTTCAAGATCATCTAGATCCAACCCCCTGCATGGGCAGGGACACCTCCCACCAGCCCAGGCTGCTCCAAGCCCCATCCAACCTGCCCTTCAACACTGCCAGGGATGGGGCAGCCACAGCTTCCCTGGGCAACCTGGGCCAGGCTCTCACCACCCTCACACTCCACAATTTCCTCCTAATGTCTCATCTAAATCTCTCTCTTCCAGTTTTCATCCCTTCCCCCTCATCCCACCCCTCCCTACCCTTGTCCCAAGCCCCTCCCCAGCTTTCCTGGAGCCCCTTCAGGCACTGGAAGCTGCTCTAAGGTCTCCCTGGAGCCTTTTCTTCTCCAAGCTGAACACCCCAGCTCTCCCAGCCTGTCTCCAGAGCAGAGCTGCTCCAGCCCAAGGATCATCCTCTTGGCCTTCTCTGGACTCTCTCCAGGAGCTCCTTGTCCTTCTTATGCTGGAGGCTCCAGAGCTGAGCACAGTTCTCCAGGTGGGCTCTAACAAGAACTGGGTAAATGGGGAGAATCCTCTCTCTGACCCTTCTGGCCATGTTGCTTTGACACAGCCCAGGACACAGTGGCTTTCTGGGCTGCAAGTGCACATTGCCACACATTTTCTCCTGTGTCCACTGGATAAATGGCAAGCACAGAAGCTGCAGATGTTTGCCTGCCCTCTTTACACAAGCTTGTGGTAGCAGCTGCTGACACTCCATGTCTGTACATGAAGCAGGGAGCTACTGGTACAACACGTCCCTGAGACACAGGGCCTTGGGGTAGGAAGCAAAGACAGAAGAGCCAAGACCCCCAGCATCAGGCTGCTTTGAAAGTGCTGCTCTTTGCATCATATTTCTTCTTCACTACCTAATCATGGGGATAACAATAGTTTCTCATTTCTCATGGAGCACTAGATCACCTAACTCCATTAATTTCTTCTGCATTCTGCTATTATGGGCAATTTAGGCTTATAAATGAATGTATTTGTGTGTTTAGCTTAAGGGTATACATGGCAGACAGCCCATAATCCTGATTCATCCTCCACAAATCTCTAACCTGTGCAGCTTCATCTGAAACCATTCATTATTTCTCTATTAAAACTCAGGATATGAAGCAAATGCAGCTCAGAGTAACTCCTGGTCCTTCCCCACAGGTGCCAGCACCGTTCATCTGGAGGTTTGGAAAAGGAGCTGCACAATGGATGGAGCTGGAAATCCTCAGGGATGGTGGGCAAGTGTCACACAGAGTCACACACATCCTGCAGGTGGGACAGCTCAAGCACAGAGTCACCTTCCAAGGTGTTCTGGCCTCTTTAGCAGGTATTTCCCTGCCTTTGGATGGGGAAACACATTCATCAAGGCCAAGTTTTTCATAATAAACCTTTGGTTTCAGCTGGGCTCCCAGGGCAATCAGACTCACTCTTACATTTACCCACCACCAGCTCTCTGTGCTCAAACTCACCCTCCTGGATTCAAGCTCTTCCCTCACGTTGGATTCACTCCAGGCCTGCAGCCTTGGCTTGCCTGCTGCTGCTGCCACTCTGTAGGGTTTGTGAGAAGCCCCACTGACATGCAGACACCACTGCTGGGAGTGGAAAAGCAGGATCTAGCAGAGACATTGCCCTGCCAGGCTGTGCTCCCTTCCTCCTCATAAACCAGGTGCTTCACTTGCCTTTCCAGCAGCACAATCTGGTGTCCAGACCAAAAGCTGCAGGAGCAAACCCAGATTGCTTTCTGGATCCACTGCTTTCTCCATCACATTTCCAGCCAGGAGCTGACAGAAACAAACTCTGCTTGACTAACTCCTCTTGCCTTGGTGCACATCTTACCACACTTTGATGACCTGCAGCCAGTTTCCCTCTCTTGCCACACACATAACATTAACCAGCATCACCTGGAAACCCCAGGCAACAAACAGAGGGGAAGAGGGACATGGACAGGAACTGCTCACCAGCCTCCAACATGTACAATGCCAAGGAACAGTCAGACAATAAAATTAATTAACAGCCTGGAGTGCTTCATCAACACTGTAAACCATCTGGTTACGTGAAGCTGTGAGGAGTCAGTACAGGTGCACTAGGAACCTGGAAGCTGCATGAGCCAGGCCATGGCATGAAATGGGTCTGGCTGTGATCCTTGGCTTTAGGAACAGGCAGTGAGAGCAGTTTAAATACTGGGACACTGCCACTGTGGAATTCAAGGACTGGGGTACCTTTCACACCCTCTCTAGGTTGGCAGATTTCACAGGAATTGGACAGATCTTTTTCCAGAAATTGAAATTTGCAGAGTAGGGTTCAAAGCCTTTAAAAAAGCTGAAGCCTCTTCTTAGTTGGGTTTGTCCATTTGGTACCAAGGAGGCCCTAGGAACTTCCCTCCTCCTTCACAAGGACAAGGCAGCCTTCAACTCCATGCAACCCTGGCTGTTTTCCAAGCTGATGGACAGGCCACCACCTTCTCCTTGAACTGCTGGAGAAAGCTAGCCCAGCAGCCAGCTGAAGCCACAGCCAACCTCTCAGCTGCCACAGAGACAGAGTCATCCACCACCAGATCCCAGGAGGAGACAGGCTCCACTTTTGTCCAAGTCTGCAGCGGGAATGGGAAGGACAGAGAGCCTTCTGCCCTGTCTCTGAGCCTGGATGCCTGCTAGCAAGCACATATATCACTGTGTGGCATTTCCATGGACGTAATCTATTCATGTCACCTTTGATCCCAGGAAAAGTTAGCCTTGAAATTGAATCTGGTCACCTGCCCATGTCCTTGGCCAACAGCAGAGGCATCTCTGTGGAGCCAGAAAGCAGCACAGTTCAGACAGACAGCATCCAGGATGGGAGCAGCTGAACAGGGCTAGGGCAGCCTGTTTTGCTCATTCCTTTTCCCACTGTAAGAGACTGACCAACTTTTAGCAGCTTCCCAGTATCTGAAGGGGCCTACAGGAAAGCTGGGGTGGGGCTTGTGGCACAGGTGTGTAGTGAGAGGACAAGGGGCAATGGTTTGAAGCTTAAAGAAGGGAGATTCAGGTTGGACATTAGGAAAAAGTTCTTTCTTGTGAGGGTGGTGAGAGGCTGGAACAGGTTGCCCTGGAAGGTTGTGGCTGTTCCCTCCCTGGAGGTGTTGAAGGGCAGGTTGGATGGGGCTTGGAGCAGCCTGGGCTGGTGGGAGGTGCCCCTGCCCATGCAGGAGGGGTGGATCTAGATGGTCTTCAGCTCATGGAATGGTTTGAGTTGGAAAGGACCTAAAAGATCACCCAGATGATCCACTAGCTGATCTTCAAGGTGGCTGCCCCATCCCTGGCAGTGTTGAAGGGCAGGTTGGATGGGGCTTGGAGCAGCCTGGGCTGGTGGGAGGTGTCCCTGCCCATGCAGGGGGTTGGATCTGGATGATCTTTAAGGTCCCTTGCAACCCAAACCATTCTATGATTCTATGACCTACCTGTCGGGGGTAGAGAGATACTTCTGCTTCTGGAATTTCTTCTCCAAGCCCATCAGCTGGAGCTCAGTGAAGATGGTCCTGCTCCTGCGCGGCTTCTTCAGGCGCGGCGGCTGCTCCGCCTCGGACTCGCTGCTGGGCTGGGGCTCGCTGGCCGGGGCCTTGGTGCTGGCAGCCCCTGGGGAGCCCTGGGAGGGCAGCACACGGGAGCTGGTGGCAGCTGGGACCAAGTGGGGCACCACGGAGGGCTGCCTGGTGATGACGGAGATGAGAGGATACGCCCGCAGAGAAGGGGACCCTGGCGGGGAAGGAAGCAGAGGTGGGTAAAGGCCAGTTCGGCGGGAATATGGTTAAGCAATGGGGACACTGGAGGGAGGAGAGAGAGAGGGAAACCTTTCCAGCCTCTGCCATTCCCTTGTTCAATGACCATGAGGAAGTCAGTTCCCCTCTCTGGACCTGTTCCTTCTCCCAGGTGGCATTTCCTTGGGCTGCCAGTCTCGATGATGTGCGTTTCCCCAGCCCAGGGAAGGGAAGGTCTGAGTTTCCAATGCCTATTCTATTATTTTTTTAAAGCAGCTATTACAACACACACCACTGAATTAATGTCTCATTACCACAGGAGATTCATAAGAGATTAAACGGAGCTAATGATGAGATTTGTCCCCATTCATGCCACTCTGCTGCTCCACAGCCACCAGGACAGGGTTCCTGTCACAGCGTCACCTCATCTCCCGTTAAAGGGGACAGAGAATGGAATTCAAGCCACAACTGATCCCACCCTCTAGCAGGTAGCTGAGTCAGATGAATCACACTTTCATCCTCTGCTGTCTGTACTGACCCTGTTTACTGGCAGGTAAGGATGAATAGGTGGGAAGCAGATTTCTTCTCCGACTCTTAACTCTACATCTTACACCAACCAGTTGATACCAGCCCTAAAAAACAAATCAGCAGTTCTGCTCCAATCCTTTCAGGTCAGGGCCAGTCTGGGATGACAAATCTAAGTATTCCCAAACACTAGAGGAAGTTCTGATTCACATCAGACCTCTGGATTTATAGCTATAGACAGATTTCTGCTCAGCCTTAGCCCCAGGAAATCAAACGTTCCTTCAAAATTCCAGCAGAGAAATGGGGCCATGTAAGGGAAATGTACACTTGTTGCAAGGCAGCACTCTAGAGAGCTTTGCAACCAACCTGCAGAGGTTTGGGCAACTCACTTTGTTGCTCCATGCCTCAGTTTACCTCATTTGCAAAATGGAAACAACCCTCCTTCCCTGCTTCACTGGTGGTAAAACATGAACTGAAGTTTAATGTACATAAAGTATCCTGAGATCTGCAGATAAGAGGTGCTGTGGAAAGGAACACATTACACCAGCAGGTCTGATTGTGAAACTCTTCCTATGAATCACCACTAATGAAAATAATGATCTACAGACCTCAATGAGTCTATTTCAGTGAATAACTCATCAGAGGGAAAGAAAGGAGCTGCCAGCCTGGCCTGCTGATGACCTGTATTCCATACCCTCCTCCCCTGGGCCAAGGGCTGTGATGGCACAACTCAGGTCCCAGTGCTCAGGGTACATCACAGAATCCTGTAGCTTCTTGATCATCACTTCCCTTCACAACCAGTTATGCAAAAAACAGCCACCTACAATGCTTGGAAAACTATAGCCATAACACTGTAAATCCCAACAGACTGGGAATTTAAAGCAAGACTGTGGCTACAGACTGGGCCTTGAGCCTTATTTCTCCTCCACAACTCTGCAACACTAAAAATGGTATTTTTCCACACATTTAAATTATTCCACTTAAATGTCCAAGGAAATACTTGAGAGATGAGATCAGAACTGCCACACCAACACGTAGCTTGTGCAAAGTGTTATCTACCTTTTCTTCCTGTGGATTTTTTTCAGCTAAAGACCATGCTGAGCTACAGCATCACCAAGTAATCTGGCAGAAATTCTGCCTTGATTTACAACCTCAGGGGCTGTTCAAAGATCATAAATTAGGACAGAGAACACTGTCCTTTGCTCTCCTCTACTAATCCTCCCCTCGCTGATATTTATGCACCCACTGACACCAGCCAGCTACACAGAAGGTAACCCAGATCCTGCTCCCACAGGCTGTACTCTCCTCCCCAATACCCAGCCCAGTTGCCATCACAGGACAGCAAAAGCAGTGTCAACCTACCAAGGGAACAGCAGTCTCAGTCAAATTTTAACAAAAAAAGTCAGCCCCTCTTCCCTTCTTGAGGGCCACCTCCATTGCAAGAGCCCTTTGAGGAACCCTGGGTCAGGCATTCCCATCACTGAGCTCCTGCTCCCCAGCAGGTTCATCCTCTGAGCCTTATCTCACAGCCAGAAACCCCACTCCTGTCCTTGCACATGGGTGCCTTTTAGCACCAGATCACTGGTTACATGGATACCTTTAACCTTGTACCCCCCCATATTTCCAGCAGGGCTCTCCAGAAACCACAAGATTATGAAGGGATAATAAATCAGCAGAGTTCAGAAACCCCTATGAGGCTCCAAGTGACTGAAGCCCCTGGACAAAAGCATTGTTATGAGGGACTCTCTTCAAGGGAGCCCAGCAAAAGGTATTTGATACCAGAGCAGTGGGGTATTTGCTTGCCCTGGAGAGCAGGGTAGCAGCACATGGGACTGCTTGGGGTGGGGGAGGCCAGCTACAGTGCTCCCACAGCTTAAGATTTGCCTCCATCCAACAGAGGACAGTCTCTTCAGGCCATTTTTCTAATTATCAGGTAGGATCAGTACTAAAAGGACTGCTTTCCTCCTTCCAGGATTGGCACAGAGACCTTGGCTGCTTTTTGCAGGGTAAACCAGTGGTTGGTTATAAGAGAAGCAGGTGACTTTGGATTGTTCAGGTCCACATTTTCCAAGTGCTGGGCACCTGAATGAGGGGACACGTTTTCCAAACTGCTCAGCAGCCAGCAGCTGTGCCCTGGCCACATGCTCAGCAAAGCTCAGCACACTTATTTTTGGTGCTCACGTCAGGACTCTTCTTTACTTACGGGCACTTCTGAACCCACTGTTGTGCCTGAGTGCAAGTAATGGTTTGCAACTGCTGAGCTGCTTCAAGCTCCAGGTGGTGAACAGATTTGTGGGGTGTTGACACCAAGTGTCTTGTATTTGTTTATCATTTGTGCTCGTAAGAGAAGCCTTCACATATGGTTTGACACCAACAGTTGGGACAGTGCTTTTAGAAACCATTGTAAATAATGAAAGCATCTGCTGATGTTCAGCCCAGTCATAGACAAGACTTCTCAGCTTTCTACCCTCAGCCTGATGAGGACACAGGATGGTGAGGGCACAGAGCAAGGACAGCATGTAGAGAGAGACGTGGGGTTCCAGGCTGCAGGTATTTTCTGGGGGGAAGTCGCTGGCTGGGGCAGCCAACTCTCCCTGCAGAGTAACCCAGGAACAGCCAGGCTCTACATTGCACTAGCTTCAGGATCACAAAGAAAAAAGCTTGAGTGTCCTGCTCTGGAACTAGTTACCCCAAAGTTCAGAGGCAGCTGAAGTGGAGCCAGCACGTTGTCTCTAGGTGCACGATTAACACGCCGCCCCTTAAGCCACCCGTACAGTCCCTTCCCTGATAAAGCCTTGGCTCCCAAACACCATGAAATCTGAGGCTAGATCTAAATTTCACATCCCCCAGAGTTCAAAGGTATTTCTAGACTGACATGCTATTGTAAGAATGGAATAATTTCTTAATCTTCAACAAATTAAGTGCTGGCAAGCAGCTCTTGTCTGCTCAGCACTGTTGTGACATGCTCTGTCTCCCAGCACGGGAAGGAATGGAAATGAAGTGCTCTTCCCCGTCCCCACCTGCCTCTCAAAAGAGTTTCAGATGAACACACACTTCCCTGCATTTTTGTCCATGCACCACTTCCAATCCTGACCCACTGGTCTTTTGCACTTGAAAACCAAGCTGTCCACATAAGCCAGAAAATGAGGAGGGTTTTTACACACCTCAACTGTTTTATTGTTTCCATCTAAAACAATTGAGAGGCAGCACAGTCTGGTGGTGAAGGTACCAGTGGTTTAGGACTCAGGAGCTCTCAATGCTGTTTATAGGGAAGCAGTCTCTTACTATGTGGTTTTATTCAGATAAGTCCTTCTTTTATCTACTAAAATACTCTTAATCACCCTGAAGTCTAGTCTAGGCTCATTTTGCTGCTGAATACTTCTCAAATAGCTGGGAAGTATTAATATAATCCATACCTCATACCATGCACAACTGAGGGAGTGGTGCTTAAGCAACAGAAGTTTTCCTGTAGTTATTTTTTAAGCATTTGAATAGTCTCAATTTCAAGCAGCAAGAAAGCTCTTCTTTCTGTCCACCTCCAGAAAGCTAACATCTGGCCACTCAGTTGCTCAAACCAACCCAGAGCTAAAAATAAAAAGGATATTGGATCTGCAGAGTATTTTCTAATGATCTGCAAACATTTTGCTTTGCTATTTAAACCAGGCTGTGCTGGCAGCCCCTGAGCAGTGAAGAACAGCTCTGCCCCTCACACACTGCACTGGCCACAGCATCTTGACATCAACTGGGTAACTGGAGCCATCCAGGTCAAGAAGAACCCTGGGCTCCTGTTTCTTAATTCCATGTAAAATGCTCCTCCTAGAAATGTACAATGATCTAATGTATCCAAAGGTATTTTTTTCTCACTCATTTTGCTTTTCAGCAGTGACACCAAGGACAGGGCAATCAGCCCATTTCCTCCAGAAAGTTTTAGACAGGAATGTCTGTTTTTACTACCCAAGAAGCCAATACCCCAGGGGTAAATCCACAACACCTCAGCCTTTTACTGCCTCTTACCCAGGTGTGGACACAGGGGTAAAGCAGCAAAGCCTCCAGCCATGCAGGTTCCAGCTCCATGAAGAGGAACTAGGGGCACTTTCTGTTCACCAGCCCAACCTGAAGGCACCTCTGCTCACCTGCTGGGACGCTTCTATCCAACTTCTTATGACCACTAGATCTGTAGGTACACCACCAATCACCTTGCTGAAGTTTTAATTAAAAATAAAAGCTTCAAACAAATCATTTCCCCCTCCCCCTTCTCCCTGGCTTGCTTTCAACCCCAGCAGACACAGACTAGAGGGAAGAGAAAAGGGAAAGCACTAATTAATTGCACTGTTTGGCTGCCGGCAACGGCAGAACAGTTTTCCTCCCAGGCAAACTCAGCTAATTCTGTTTTGGAAAGAAAGAAAAAGGAAGGAAAGATTTATGGATCAGCTCCTCTTGGCAGGTCAGCCCTGCTCGGAGGCAGAATGAAATCTCACTCAGAATGGGCTGCAGTGAAAGGTAAATAATAAAAGAAAATGAACTTACGACTCAGGAAGGTCTATAAATCTGCCGTCTCTTGAGTGTCAAAACAAAAGGGAACCAAGAAGGAGTTGAGTTCATTTAGGAAAGAGCTTCACTTTCCTGCAGGAGCAGGCAGCCTCCTGAAGGGAAGAAGCAAGCCCTGCGTGAAGCAAAGAAGGTAAAAGAAGCAGGGAAATGTTGAGCCTCAGTTGAAGCACACACAGGGCGTTCCATCTGCTTTTTCCACCACAGATCCCCAAAAGCTGAGATGCTCCAGCCATGCCATTCCCACAGATCTCAGCTGGACACCAGCCTCCATGGCACTGCAGGCAAGCCAGAGCAGAGCACAGACCTCATACAAACCAGAAACTCAGCATAGCCCAGGAGTCAATGGGTGAAAGACAACAGCCAGGCACCCACTGTGTACACCAGGACACAGCACGTCCTCTCAGGGCAGGGTGGGCTCCTTTGCCTTGTACCTGCCAGGGCCAGCTGAAGAACCTGGCACAGCTCCTTCCCATGCTCACCTTCCTCAGCCAGCATGCAGCACCTGGACCCATCTCTCTTGTCCTTCAGAAAACCATGCTGAAGGCAGCAAAGCCATCCTTGCTTTCAGGTTAGGTCTTCCCCCATCTGTTTTCGCTGACATTGGATTTAAGGCTTCTCTGCTCCATTTGCACCAAGCTCGGGCCCTGAGCAGCCCCCAGGCATGGCACTGCCACACCAAGGTACCTCACTTCTCTGCAATTGCATTTTACTACCCAATGACACACAAAGAACTTCAGCCACTGCGTAGGAAAAAATACTGCACTCATCTGCTCTTTGTGTTTTCCTTAACCTCTGCTTTATTCTTATGAACTATTAGAAGGCAGTTTGCATCAGGTCCTTCCCAAGATCAA